AAAAAAATCGTTAGCCCAAATAAGCAGCCAGACACTAAAAATGGTCGATATTATATAATGGGCAGAATCATAGGATCCGAGGCAGAGCCGCTCACCAGACTCAGTGGAAGCAACGCCGTCAACAGAGCCCTTTATTTCCGCTTCGGTCTCAGCGAAGGCCAAAAGGAGTGCACGTTGGAGCTCAGTCAGGCGTCTAAAGGAAGAAAGGAGGAACGATAAGTACAAAATATAACGGTGTGCGTTGTCTTCCCTCCCCCCCACAAAAGTACTTGCACTTGGTACGGCGGCGATCATGTCTGATTTGGCCATCAACTTTGTGTAGGGCCCAGCCAGTGGCGTGGTTGAACAGAATGCACGACAGAATAAAATCTTGTCGAACACCAAAAAAAGGCTGCGTCGCAGATGCGCTGGACCCGAGCGAGATCAGAGTGGCTTACCTAACGCAGTAATCGGGGTGGGCACGGAGTCCATGCAAGCATACAACTGCTGCCGTGCAAGTGTGTGCGCCACGCCGCGTTAGCCACGGCACCCTATCCCAATTGGTTTACAGGCTAGGACAGTCAACTGGTGTAGGGGAGACATTAAACTGGGATTCCACCCCCACGGAAAATCAGCCCTACAGTAAATGTCAGGCTCCTGTATCTATCACTTCTTGACATAGACGGCTGTCAAGGGACGTGATAACTTCCCCCTAATGAGAGAACTGGAGGACTGAAATTCAAGCTGCAAGGGCTAATTTTTAACACCACCTTTATGGCGATCTCACGCACCCGAGAAAGTTGTTTTGTGTTTTACGGAAATTCCGTAAGTCAAACACAATAGACTCCGGTTAATTGGGTTACCGAGTTGTTGGGCCGGTTGCTTAAGAGCTAAAAAACGCTCGGCCGATTTGGATCACAACGCCATTTACTTTGATCACCTATTGTTTTAATTCACAATTCAGGGACAAACGGGCTGAACATCTTGACAAAAATTAGACAAGACGTTCCAGATTCCAGCACGACCCCAATTTCAGAGCATCAAATACGGATAATCCGTACACAGAGAGTTGACTATTTATAGGATTCGGTCACTATGCTACTGCCTACCTATGACAATTAACCGTTCCCCCCCTTCATCGAGGATGATTATCCCCTGGTGCGCTAATGGCTCCATGGCCGGCATGTGGGTCGTTACCCGCGGAAATTTCATCACCTGTGAAAATTGGTAGTGTATTTACGTCACTCACTGGCACACAATCCAGGAAGGATTCATCACTAGCTGGGAAGTTGTCCAACTTGACTGAATAAGATATTACCAGCCCAACATTATATGCATCGTCAGTCGAGAGATAAAATACACGTGCCTAAGTTCACAATCATGCGCAAGCAAGATAAGGTGCAAGAACACTGCCTGAAGGATGTTAACAAGCAGTTCACTGCTCACAAATCAGGCCGAATAATTGGCCCGGCCACTTCAACCGAATACAAACCGATAAACAGGAGTCCACTGTAGTTCAAACAGCCAAACACATCAAAAGAACTCATCTTAGGTTGGTCGACAGTCAGGCCTAGTGCGCGCAAGAGGAGAGTGAAAGAGGAAATTAAGAAAAGACAAACGTACTTGGGAGTTTCAATATTGATGTGAATATAGTGATCACCGTAGCCTCGTCCATTCACGCGGCTAATTCCTTTGCCTGGCAATCGAATGCGATCACGACTAGAAGAGCCGGCAGGGATCTGAAACCACAAATAAACAGTTACTGTCATATTATAAGTAGCAAAGTTATGACCAGAATTCATTTGGTAGCCTGGAATTTGCCCTACCCAATGGCTAACC